GTGCAGGGTGTGCTCCAGCTGATCCTTCATTAGCAAAGAAGATACTGTCAGGCTAGGAGAGTATTCACAATATTGCTTTCAATTACAAGAACTTGGTTTAGGAGCGCTTGGACTCATGCATTCTGCAGAAGTTCTGGCTGGGACTGGGAGACCCAGTGAGAGATTCCAGAACTCCATTGACTCCTTAGAGATACAGATGAAGTAACTGGTAACAGGACCAATCCTACAAAAATCATCATAGGCCCATGTGCCCACCCTCCCTTGAACTGGAGTTTCCAACATGAACAAGGCAGCTAGTACCGGAGCCTTTGAGGACAAAGCAGGGTCAGTTCGGTCCCCATAGTGAGAGATCTAGAACAGTCACTTTTCAACATCCACTCTTCCTGTACACACAGGAACAACCCCTCCCCTGACGACACAGCAAGGTCCTCTCAGTATCCAGGTCTCCTTCTGAAAGCATCCTCTATGGTAAGTCCTCCTGCCTTTCTGCTCTTTGCGTGCACCAAGTGAAAAGCCTGTGATACATGCATGCACGGGGGCATACATACACCTGTCAGAGTGGGAGCCAAGCCACTCCAGGAGCCCAGCACTGCAAAAGTTTTTTTAAACTAAAAATTAACTATTCAGATTTAAACCAGTGTTGGAACTTTGGAATATATACATGGGTTTTGGGTTACAGTTCAGGCACTCAATCTCTACAAGGTTCACCATTAGTGCACTAGAGTAGAGGAGATACAGTATATTCCTGCCCAGTTCTTAAAGGACCAAATCCTACCCTCCAGCTCTGGGACTACACCTCCTCCATGATAGATGTGGCTCAATATCTCTCCTTCAGAAGGGTATTTCCACATGTCATACATGAAGGAATTTGGAAAAGCTTTTAAGCTTCCTACTTCCATTCTGAGCTCTTCAGGGACCTTGAACACTATCTCAGTTAGACTGCTGGAACAGCATGAATCCCAGGTCCCCAAACAGAAGCCAACTCAGGACACTTTCACAGATATGCTGAGACCAGCAACATCCATGCCAACCGCAGTGGAAACTGCTGGCCCAGAACTTCTGTGAAAATGTGCTTCCATTATTGTTATGTGGTTGATTGTAAAGTAACGTGATCATGCCACTAGAAAAATGAAGTGGGGCAATCCACAAAGACAGAATGGGGAAGAGCCGCCACTGCCTGAACGCTACCCTTAAACATGCTGGACACAGATGGGTACAAGCAATGAAATTTTATGAATTGTAACACAAATGCCATAGTTTAAGACAACAAAGGACTCAATTAGGTTTTGGTTAATACAAAGCAAAGAGATCACAGGCCCCCATCTTGAGCAGATGGGAAGTGGTATAATAAATGAAACATAGGAATCCTTGTTAGCTTCCAGACATTATTCATATAATAATGGCCTATCTTCTGGAAGCCCATGCCCTGATAGAGGGCCAGGGCACTGTGCTGCAGCATAGATGTGTCAAGCACAACTTCACCATAGCCCTGGTTCCGGGCAAACTGAAGGACAGTCCTGA